AGTAATTGGGTATCATATCGCCTATAAAGGCCCCAGTTCAAGGACTTGTATACTATACCTACAGTGGTTTAGCCCCTAGTAGCTAACATAGACTGTGCGAGCTTCACTATGTCTACGTCTTGGCGGTCTTGGCTTTCTGGAGAGGATAAAGACTTTTGGCCCCGGCCTTCGTACCGTTCAGGGCCAATGCTTTCGTTCAGGATCATAGGTTCCACCAGGTTTTTTAAACAAATTAAAAATTTATAACAGCCATATACCCTATAAGCGATAGTGGTCTTGCAGGTGCCTAAGCCTATTTACTACCAAATTGCTAAGGGTGGTCCGTGTTCTACAGCAAATTTGAAGGTGTTGAACTAACCACGATAACCGGGTGCAATTTGGTCTGAGCTATCTTTTAAAGTTTTAGATTCTCAGCGGTGTACTGTACGTTTCTGCGAGTGGCTTGCATTGAATCCCGTTAACCCATTTACAAGCGTTGAGCCCAAGCCAATGAGTTCCACAGCCACGTGCCAATCACCACCCAGTGAGAAAACCGTTTCCATCTGAATTCTGAAGTTGTCTTCTGAACTTGGCATCAACGTTTATGTAACAATACGATACAACCGTTGCCAATGCTGAAGAGAGGCGCAGATCTAAAAACCGCCCACACCCAAAGACAAGATTGCGACAGCGCATGTCAGCATCTCGACTTCTCGGTGCAAACTTTCCATCCGTTTTTACACCGGTTCAGGGTCAGGTTGTGCATCGAGGCTTTCTTGGGCACGTTGTGTATTTAGGTTTGGGGCGTTTCAGAGTTAGACAAGTCTCAAGTCTATCCACACACTGTAACTAGGTACCTCACTGAAGCAACAATTGACTTTGCCAAAGACCCAGGACCCCAAACCCCCGTTCCTCAACAGCAGGGATAGACATGTTGCAGGCAAAATCCTACGGACGGGACAGTAGGTAGATAGAGAATTTTGGGAACACGCACAAGTCTTCTTGCCTACATACCATACCATGGAAGCAATATTACAGGTATGTACATACAGTACAGTACCGTTACAGTGGAATAGGGTGCCTCGAGGGTGCATATTAGAAACCCACAACCGACTGGAGCCGTGTGGGTGCATCCCCACGTCCTGCCGGCAGCTCGAATTCTCCACAGGATAGCAACTCCTCCTGCAGGCTGCGGGGCTCTGAACTTCCCCTATTCATAGCGACCAAAACAGGATATCGTGTACACACGGATGTCGGGCTTCTAGACATGTTATATATTGGTTGAATCTGACTGAGCTTGGTATTGATCCTCTTATATAGGTAATGCCGCAACGCCCAGGGTATCCGTCTACTCTTCTAGGTCTACCTTAACCATGCAGTGCTGATGTACAAAAACATACATTCCAGCCGAATGAGGGGATAAAAGAGGTGCTTCCCGCTGCTGCCGCCTTCTTAGCCTTCGAATACATCGTGCTGAAGCTCGACGCCAAATTCCTTGGCCACGCTCTTCAGTCTCTCTTCGACCTCGTCTTCCATCCCCTTTCCGTAACCAAAAAGCTGTTTCAGCCTGAAATAATAGAAGGCAATATCCGAGATGACTAAGACAGCCTTGAACAGGAGATGCTGCCACATGTTGACGGCTCTCTGCCGCAAGGGAAGATTGGGGTCCTGGAAGAGCGAACGACTGGCCCATTCGCCCATCATCTTGACTCTGTTGACCGGTGAGCCCATGAATGCGTTGTTGCCTTGCACGATGCGCATATTTCTTCCAATGAAGATGAGCTCCTTGGGCCACTTGTCCTCGTCTGCCAGCACATCGCGAATGCCCTGCTTCATCCGCTGCTGCATCTCGTAGTGTCGTTGACTAGCGGTCTTTTGGTCCATCGCCCCGAGCATCTCCTTCTGGAACTGTTGCTCGCCGCCCTCGTAGGGCCGCATCAACGTGGCTGAGGCAAACAAGTCGGGTGCTTTGATACCCCACTTCTCGGTGATGTCGGCGATCGTCTTGTTGTCGAATGTCATCAAGGCCTTCCAGAAGACGCCATACTCGTGCCGGAACTTGTCGCTCATGAAAACATACAGTCCATGGTCAATCAACACAAGCTCCGGTTTCCCGTTCGGCAGTCTCCTGATGAAGATGTTTCCGGGGTCTAGAGATGAGTCAAGATTAGTAACGGCCAACCTCAAAAGAAGGATGGAAACGTACGTGGGTCGCAGTGGACGACACCCCACTTGAAAATCTGAGCGGAGAAGAGATCAACCATGGTCGTCATGACGTCCTTTGTGGAAACACCGAGGCCTCCCTTTCCACGGCGCCCTCGCCATTCAGTTCGCTCGGGCTTCAATTTTTGACAGTTGGGGTTTTCCCGCAACTCGCGGCGGATCGCGTCCATATCTGGAGGTTCCAGTTGAGCGCCATGCACACCAGCCGAACCGTTCGCAAACCCCCCGAGCCAAGGTCTAGTCAGGGCCTCCTTGTCCCACAGCCTCACGCCTTCGATCCATTCCGTCGTAAGCACCCGCCTGGAACTAAACTCGGGGTAGACGCGGGGGATATAGACTCTGCCCCGGAGACTCGGTTCCTCGCTGACAAGCTGCCGCATAATCTCGGAATTCTTGGCCTCATTTTCAAAATCGGTCTCGAGCATCAGCCGCTCCGTGATGAACGGCACCAAGACATACAGAGGCAGGTCAAACCACCATGTATACACCTTCGTCACCACTCTGGTTACACGCAACGTCCTTGTCAGCCAAATGCGGTCCTGTAACCAAGGAAACGGGCAGCACTCACTTGAAAGCCCACAGATCCCACCCGATCTGCTTCGCGATCTCGGGCTTCTGAATCTTCACCGCCACCTCCCTCCCGTCGGGCAGCCGCGCCCAATGGACCTGTGCGACTGAGGCGCTCGCCCTGGCCGTCCTCTCCATGACGCCCTTGCCCTCTTCACCCGCAAAGCTGACCCCAAACACCTCCTCAACGCTCCTCCCGCCAAAGTCGTCGCGTATGACTTTCTCCACCGCTTGCCACTCGTCTTGGGGCGCGTCGTCAAACATGCGGGCAAACATCCTTTGAAACTCCGGGGGCAAAACGGCGCTCTGCATGGCGATGGCCTGGCCAATCTTGAGGTACAGCCCGCCGTTGGAGCGGAGCAGCTCAAACAGCCGCTCGGCGCTACGCCGGTGCAGCTCGGGGATCCCGCCCTCGCTGCCAATCAGGGGCAACGGCTGCGGCCGAAAGTTGATTTTGTAATCGGCCGCCACCAGCAGGCCCGTGCCGAACGTCCGCAGCGACCGCGCGATCCCCGCCGCGTACACCTGCCGGTCCACGAGGTAGCCTGCGGCGAGGACCGTTGAGAATATCAGCAGCCGCCGCCACCACCGCCGGATGCGCGGGTAGCTGCGTGCTGGGCGGGGCGCGCCGAGCGTGGACGGTGCCGGAGGACGGAGCGGTTCGAAGGGCCCTGCGCTGTGGGTTACTATGCGGCGCGGCCGGGTTGAGGAGAAGAGGCGGGAGCATGGTGGCCGGGAGGCAGCTATTGTTGGCGGTCTGGTTGGCGTCTGTGATGTGCATCGGCGCAGGTGGAGGGAAGGGATCGAACGGCTACTGCAAGGCGAGGAGGACCAGATCGAACTCGAAGAGGCGGGCCGCCGGAAGGCGCCCGCCATGTCTCGGCGCCACATATTCGTGGCGGTAGGGGGAATTCTGTCGTTCAGACAGTACGGTTTGCTTCAAGACACCATCTGATGGAACGTTGTTGAATTGCAATTGCGTGTAGGACGGAGAAATGGGAAATTTTCGAGTCGACGTCTGTAGGCGTTTTCAACCGTCAATGACGACTTGATCTCGGTGTTAGTGCCCTGTTGCTGACAAGGACCCCACAATTTACCGCTATCTTACGGATACCTTACCTTACCTCCGGTCTTTCAGCACGGATTCTCCGAGCCCAGTCGGGGTTTACGGAGGACGGGACTGTACTCCGTAATCGAGCCGCGAAATGCTTTGAGCCTCAATGTTGGGTTACAATGTTATGTAGCAGGGACACTACACTAACTGAGAGCCATGCTCCTCTCTGGGAACAGGTTGAATCCTTGACATTACAAGTACGCAGAGAATTACCATAGCGCCCCCGTACTCAGCCAAAATGATCTTGGTGACTTACTTGACCTGGAAGTGAGCCTTCCACGTACAGGACCATCCCTCAGAGCCAAAAGGATCTTCGGTATCACCTTATAGTTGAATTCTT